TTTTGCTGCATTTTGTCTGGAACTTTGGACACAATTAAAGCCGCGAGCTGAGTCTAGATTCTGGGTCTAGGTTCTGGGTCTAGGTTCTGGGTCTAGGTTCTGGGTCTAGGTTCTGGGTCTAGGTTCTGGGTCTAGATTCTGGGTCTTGGTTCTGGGTCTTGGTTCTGGGTCTAGGTTCTGGGTCTAGGTTCTGGGTCTAGGTTCTGGGTCTAGATTCTGGGTCTTGGTTCTGGGTCTTGGTTCTGGGTCTAGATTCTGGGTCTAGGTTCTGGGTCTAGATTCTGGGTCTTGGTTCTGGGTCTTGGTTCTGGGTCTAGGTTCTGGGTCTAGATTCTGGGTCTTGGTTCTGGGTCTTGGTTCTGGGTCTAGATTCTGGGTCTAGGTTCTGGGTCTAGATTCTGGGTCTTGGTTCTGGGTCTTGGTTCTGGGTCTAGATTCTGGGTCTAGGTTCTGGGTCTAGGTTCTGGGTCTTGGGTCTAGGTTCTGGGTCTTGGTTCTGGGTCTAGGTTCTGGGTCTTGGTTCTGGGTCTAGGTTCTGGGTCTAGGTTCTGGGTCTTGGTTCTGGGTCTAGGTTCTGGGTCTAGGTTCTGGGTCTTGGTTCTGGGTCTAGGTTCTGGGTCTTGGTTCTGGGTCTAGGTTCTGGGTCTAGGTTCTGGGTCTAGATTCTGGGTCTAGGTTCTGGGTCTAGATTCTGGGTCTTGGTTCTGGGTCTTGGTTCTGGGTCTAGATTCTGGGTCTAGGTTCTGGGTCTAGGTTCTGGGTCTTGGGTCTAGGTTCTTGGTCTTGGTTCTGGGTCTAGGTTCTGGGTCTTGGTTCTGGGTCTAGGTTCTGGGTCTAGGTTCTGGGTCTTGGTTCTGGGTCTAGGTTCTGGGTCTAGGTTCTGGGTCTTGGTTCTGGGTCTAGGTTCTGGGTCTTGGTTCTGGGTCTAGGTTCTGGGTCTAGATTCTGGGTCTAGGTTCTGGGTCTAGATTCTGGGTCTTGGTTCTGGGTCTTGGTTCTGGGTCTAGATTCTGGGTCTAGGTTCTGGGTCTAGGTTCTGGGTCTTGGGTCTAGGTTCTGGGTCTTGGTTCTGGGTCTAGGTTCTGGGTCTTGGTTCTGGGTCTTGGTTCTGGGTCTAGGTTCTGGGTCTAGGTTCTGGGTCTAGGTTCTGGGTCTTGGTTCTGGGTCTAGGTTCTGGGTCTAGGTTCTGGGTCTAGGTTCTGGGTCTAGGTTCTGGGTCTTGGTTCTGGGTCTAGGTTCTGGGTCTAGGTTCTGGGTCTAGGTTCTGGGTCTAAGTTCTGGGTCTAAGTTCTGGGTCTAGGTTCTGGGTCTAGGTTCTGGGTCTAGGTTCTGGGTCTTGGTTCTGGGTCTTGGTTCTGGGTCTTGGTTCTGGGTCTAGGTTCTGGGTCTAGGTTCTGGGTCTAGGTTCTGGGTCTAGGTTCTGGGTCTAAGTTCTGGGTCTAAGTTCTGGGTCTAGGTTCTGGGTCTAGGTTCTGGGTCTAGGTTCTGGGTCTAGGTTCTGGGTCTAGGTTCCGGGTCTTGGTTCTGGGTCTAGGTTCTGGGTCTAGGTTCTGGGTCTAGGTTCTGGGTCTAGGTTCTGGGTCTAGGTTCTGGGTCTAGATTCTGGGTCTTGGTTCTGGGTCTTGGTTCTGGGTCTAGATTCTGGGTCTAGGTTCTGGGTCTAGGTTCTGGGTCTAGGTTCTGGGTCTTGGTTCTGGGTCTAGGTTCTGGGTCTTGGGTCTAGGTTCTGGGTCTAGGTTCTGGGTCTAGGTTCTGGGTCTAGGTTCTGGGTCTAGGTTGTAGTGTTGGTGTATTTTGCTCATGTTAAACCGATACGTTGGAGCAAAGTCTTGTGATATTTCAGTGCATAATTATCTGTTTCTCTTTCAGGTTTTCTCTGAGTTTACTCCAGAGAAAACATCTGAGGTTTATGTTTTAAAACTTGTATTTGAAGATAATCAGAGAAGAAGTCTGTCTCACATTTTCAGGAAGACAGTTCCAGATTATGGCTGCATGACTCTGAAAGGCTCCCTCCTCACGTTTAGTCCTGACTCTGGGACCAGCAGGAGGCCAGTCCCTGTGCTCCTCAAAGTCCCAGCAGGAGGCCAGTCCCTGTGCTCCTCAGAGTCCCAGCAGGAGGCCAGTCCCTGTGCTCCTCAGAGTCCCAGCAGGAGGCCAGTCCCTGTGCTCCTCAAAGTCCCAGCAGGAGGCCAGTCCCTGTGCTCCTCAGAGTCCCAGCAGGAGGCCAGTCCCTGTGCTCCTCAGAGTCCCAGCAGGAGGCCAGTCCCTGTGCTCCTCAGAGTCCCAGCAGGAGGCCAGTCCCTGTGCTCCTCAGAGTCCCAGCAGGAGGCCAGTCCCTGTGCTCCTCAGAGTCCCAGCAGGAGTCCAGTCCCTGTGCTCCTCAGAGTCCCAGCAGGAGGCCAGTCCCTGTGCTCCTCAGAGTCCCAGCAGGAGGCCAGTCCCTGTGCTCCTCAGAGTCCCAGCAGGAGGCCAGTCCCTGTGCTCCTCAGAGTTGGTTCATATAGATCGAACATGTCACAGATGTACTTTGGTTTGAGGCCATGGAGCGACTTGTTTAAGCCTCAGTTGCAGAGACCTGAGACCAGGACTAATGTGATGGTACTTCCTGGTTCTAGTCAGGACTAATGTGATGGTACTTCCTGGTTCTAGTCCAGGACTAATGTGATGGTACTTCCTGGTTCTACTCAGGACTAATGTGATGGCACTTCCTGGTTCTAGCTCAGTCCTGGGTCTACAGCCTCAGTCCTGGGTCTACAGCCTCAGTCCTGGGTCTACAGCCTCAGTCCTGGGTCTACAGCCTCAGTCCTGGGTCTACAGCCTCAGTCCTGGGTCTACAGCCTCAGTCCTGGGTCTACAGCCTCAGTCCTGGGTCTACAGCCTCAGTCCTGGGTCTACAGCCTCAGTCCTGGGTCTACAGCCTCAGTCCTGGGTCTACAGCCTCAGTCCTGGGTCTACAGCCTCAGTCCTGGGTCTACAGCCTCAGTCCTGGGTCTACAGCCTCAGTCCTGGGTCTACAGCCTCAGTCCTGGGTCTACAGCCTCAGTCCTGGGTCTACAGCCTCAGTCCTGGGTCTACAGCCTCAGTCCTGGGTCTACAGCCTCAGTCCTGGGTCTACAGCCTCAGTCCTGGGTCTACAGCCTCAGTCCTGGGTCTACAGCCTCAGTCCTGGGTCTACAGCCTCAGTCCTGGGTCTACAGCCTCAGTCCTGGGTCTACAGCTCAGTCACAGCCTCCTGGGTCTACAGTCTCAGTCCTGGGTCTACAGCCTCAGTCCTGGGTCTACAGCCTCAGTCCTGGGTCTACAGCCTCAGTCCTGGGTCTACAGCCTCAGTCCTGGGTCTACAGCCTCAGTCCTGGGTCTACAGCCTCAGTCCTGGGTCTACAGCCTCAGTCCTGGGTCTACAGCCTCAGTCCTGGGTCTACAGCCTCAGTCCTGGGTCTACAGCCTCAGTCCTGGGTCTACAGCCTCAGTCCTGGGTCTACAGCCTCAGTCCTGGGTCTACAGCCTCAGTCCTGAGTTCTACAGCCTCAGTCCTGGGTCTACAGCCTCAGTCCTGGGTCTACAGTCTCAGCCCTGGGTCTACAGCCTCAGTCCTGGGTCTACAGCCTCAGTCCTGGGTCTACAGTCTCAGTCCTGGGTCTACAGCCTCAGTCCTGGGTCTACAGCCTCAGTCCTGGGTCTACAGCCTCAGTCCTGGGTCTGCAGCCTCAGTCCTGGGTCTGCAGCCTCAGTCCTGGGTCTACAGCCTCAGTCCTGGGTCTACAGCCTCAGTCCTGGGTCTACAGCCTCAGTCCTGGGTCTACAGCCTCAGTCCTGGGTCTGCAGCCTCAGTCCTGGGTCTACAGCCTCAGTCCTGGGTCTACAGCCTCAGTCCTGGGTCTACAGTCTCAGTCCTGGGTCTACAGCCTCAGTCCTGGGTCTACAGCCTCAGTCCTGGGTCTACAGCCTCAGTCCTGGGTCTACAGCCTCAGTCCTGGGTCTACAGCCTCAGTCCTGGGTCTACAGTCTCAGCCCTGGTCTACAGCCTCAGTCCTGGGTCTACAGCCTCAGTCCTGGGTCTACAGCCTCAGTCCTGGGTCTACAGCCTCAGTCCTGGGTCTACAGCCTCAGTCCTGGGTCTACAGCCTCAGTCCTGGGTCTACAGCCTCAGTCCTGGGTCTACAGCCTCAGTCCTGGGTCTACAGCCTCAGTCCTGGGTCTACAGTCTCAGCCTGGGTCTACAGTCTCAGTCCTGGGTCTACAGCCTCAGTCCTGGGTCTACAGCCTCAGTCCTGGGTCTACAGCCTCAGTCCTGGGTCTACAGCCTCAGTCCTGGGTCTACAGCCTCAGTCCTGGGTCTACAGCCTCAGCCCTGGGTCTACAGCCTCAGCCCTGGGTCTACAGCCTCAGTCCTGGGTCTACAGCCTCAGTCCTGGGTCTACAGCCTCAGTCCTGGGTCTACAGCCTCAGTCCTGGGTCTACAGCCTCAGTCCTGGGTCTACAGCCTCAGTCTACAGCCTCAGTCCTGGGTCTACAGCCTCAGTCCTGGGTCTACAGCCTCAGTCCTGGGTCTACAGCCTCAGTCCTGGGTCTACAGCCTCAGTCCTGGGTCTACAGCCTCAGTCCTGGGTCTACAGCCTCAGTCCTGGGTCTACAGCCTCAGTCCTGGGTCTACAGCCTCAGTCCTGGGTCTACAGCCTCAGTCCTGGGTCTACAGCCTCAGTCCTGGGTCTACAGCCTCAGTCCTGGGTCTACAGCCTCAGTCCTGGGTCTACAGCCTCAGTCCTGGGTCTACAGCCTCAGTCCTGGGTCTACAGCCTCAGTCCTGGGTCTACAGCCTCAGTCCTGGGTCTACAGCCTCAGTCCTGGGTCTACAGCCTCAGTCCTGGGTCTACAGCCTCAGTCCTGGGTCTACAGCCTCAGTCCTGGGTCTACAGCCTCAGTCCTGGGTCTACAGCCTCAGTCCTGGGTCTACAGCCTCAGTCCTGGGTCTGCAGCCTCAGTCCTGGGTCTGCAGCCTCAGTCCTGGGTCTACAGCCTCAGTCCTGGGTCTACAGCCTCAGTCCTGGGTCTACAGCCTCAGTCCTGGGTCTACAGCCTCAGTCCTGGGTCTACAGCCTCAGTCCTGGGTCTACAGCCTCAGTCCTGGGTCTACAGCCTCAGTCCTGGGTCTACAGCCTCAGTCCTGGGTCTACAGCCTCAGTCCTGGGTCTACAGCCTCAGTCTACAGCCTCAGTCCTGGGTCTACAGCCTCAGTCCTGGGTCTACAGCCTCAGTCCTGGGTCTACAGCCTCAGTCCTGGGTCTACAGCCTCAGTCCTGGGTCTACAGCCTCAGTCCTGGGTCTGCAGCCTCAGTCCTGGGTCTGCAGCCTCAGTCCTGGGTCTGCAGCCTCAGTCCTGGGTCTGCAGCCTCAGTCCTGGGTCTGCAGCCTCAGTCCTGGGTCTACAGCCTCAGTCCTGGGTCTACAGCCTCAGTCCTGGGTCTACAGCCTCAGTCCTGGGTCTACAGCCTCAGTCCTGGGTCTACAGCCTCAGTCCTGGGTCTACAGCCTCAGTCCTGGGTCTACAGCCTCAGTCCTGGGTCTACAGCCTCAGTCCTGGGTCTACAGCCTCAGTCCTGGGTCTGCAGCCTCAGTCCTGGGTCTGCAGCCTCAGTCCTGGGTCTGCAGCCTCAGTCCTGGGTCTGCAGCCTCAGTCCTGGGTCTACAGCCTCAGTCCTGGGTCTACAGCCTCAGTCCTGGGTCTACAGCCTCAGTCCTGGGTCTACAGCCTCAGTCCTGGGTCTACAGCCTCAGTCCTGGGTCTACAGCCTCAGTCCTGGGTCTACAGCCTCAGTCCTGGGTCTACAGCCTCAGTCCTGGGTCTACAGCCTCAGTCCTGGGTCTACAGTCTCAGCCCTGGGTCTACAGCCTCAGTCCTGGGTCTACAGCCTCAGTCCTGGGTCTACAGCCTCAGTCCTGGGTCTACAGCCTCAGTCCTGGGTCTACAGCCTCAGTCCTGGGTCTACAGCCTCAGTCCTGGGTCTACAGCCTCAGTCCTGGGTCTACAGCCTCAGTCCTGGGTCTACAGCCTCAGTCCTGGGTCTACAGCCTCAGTCCTGGGTCTACAGCCTCAGTCCTGGGTCTACAGCCTCAGTCCTGGGTCTACAGCCTCAGTCCTGGGTCTACAGCCTCAGTCTTGGGTCTACAGCCTCAGTCCTGGGTCTACAGCCTCAGTCCTGGGTCTACAGCCTCAGTCCTGGGTCTACAGCCTCAGTCCTGGGTCTACAGCCTCAGTCCTGGGTCTACAGCCTCAGTCCTGGGTCTACAGCCTCAGTCCTGGGTCTACAGCCTCAGTCCTGGGTCTACAGCCTCAGTCCTGGGTCTACAGCCTCAGTCCTGGGTCTACAGCCTCAGTCCTGGGTCTACAGCCTCAGTCCTGGGTCTACAGCCTCAGTCCTGGGTCTACAGCCTCAGTCCTGGGTCTACAGCCTCAGTCCTGGGTCTACAGTCTCAGTCCTGGGTCTACAGTCCTGGGTCTACAGCCTCAGTCCTGGGTCTACAGCCTCAGTCCTGGGTCTACAGCCTCAGTCCTGGGTCTACAGCCTCAGTCCTGGGTCTACAGCCTCAGTCCTGGGTCTACAGCCTCAGTCCTGGGTCTACAGCTGAGTGAGTCTGTACCTGTGTGTACCTGTGTGTGTGTGTGTACCTGTGTGTACCTGTGAGTCTGTACCTGTGTGTACCTGTGAGTCCGTACCTGTACTTTCTTCAGGGCCACAGAGGTGTTGTCCAGCAGGTACCTGTGTGTGTACCTGTGTGTCTGTACCTGTGTGTGTGTGTACCTGTGAGTCTGTACCTGTGTGTGTACCTGTGTGTCTGTACCTGTGTGTGTGTGTACCTGTGAGTCTGTACCTGTGTGTGTACCTGTGTGTCTGTACCTGTGTGTGTGTGTACCTGTGAGTCTGTACCTGTGAGTCTGTACCTGTACTTTCTTCAGGGCCACAGAGGTGTTGTCCAGCAGGTACCTGTGTGTGTACCTGTGTGTCTGTACCTGTGTGTGTGTACCTATGTGTACCTGTGAGTCTGTACCTGTGTGTGTACCTGTGTGTCTGTACCTGTGTGTGTGTACCTGTGAGTCTGTACCTGTACTTTCTTCAGGGCCACAGAGGTGTTGTCCAGCAGGTACCTGTGTGTGTACCTGTGTGTCTGTACCTGTGTGTGTGTGTGTACCTGTGTGTACCTGTGAGTCTGTACCTGTGTGTACCTGTGAGTCTGTACCTGTACTTTCTTCAGGGCCACAGAGGTGTTGTCCAGCAGGTACCTGTGTGTGTACCTGTGTGTCTGTACCTGTGTGTGTGTGTACCTGTGAGTCTGTACCTGTGTGTACCTGTGAGTCTGTACCTGTACTTTCTTCAGGGCCACAGAGGTGTTGTCCAGCAGGTACCTAGCCCTGTAGACCTCGCTGAACTGTCCGCGGCCGATCTTCTTCTCGATCTGGAAGTTTGCCAAGGAGTTGTGGCCCATGTCCGGCTGCAGGGGCTTCTGCAGGAGCAACACACGTGGAAGTCATGACGTAAACAATAATAATAATGCATCGGATTTATACAGAGCTTTTCAGACTCTCAAAGTCTCTTCACATCATTATTCTCTCTCTCCAAACACGGTGGTGATAAACTACTGTAGCCACAGCTGCCCTGGGGCACACTGACAGAAGCCCCTCCCACCACCACCAACCATTCACACACACACACCAGACTCATTCTAATGTGGGGGAAGTGTCTTGCTTAAGGACACAACCACAGTTTGGCACTTTACAGCCGCCCCACTGTGGCACCTGCTGTTCCCAGAGGTCTCCCATCACAGCACTAACCAGGCCTTGCCCTGCTTAGCTTCAGTGGTGTGACAGAATATAGCCTGGCCAGTCAGGACTGAGACTATAGGACTGAGGCTGTAGACCCAGGACTGAGGCTGTAGACCCAGGACTGAGGCTGTAGACCCAAGACTGAGGCTGTAGACCCAGGACTGAGGCTGTAGACCCAAGACTGAGGCTGTAGACCCAGGACTGAGACTGTAGACCCAGGACTGAGGCTGTAGACCCAGGACTGAGGCTGTAGACCCAGGACTGAGGCTGTAGACACAGGACTGAGGCTGTAGACCCAGGACTGAGGCTGTAGACCCAAGACTGAGGCTGTAGACCCAGGACTGAGGCTGTAGACCCAAGACTGAGGCTGTAGACCCAGGACTGAGGCTGTAGACCCAGGACTGAGGCTGTAGACCCAGGACTGAGGCTGTAGACCCAGGACTGAGGCTGTAGACCCAGGACTGAGGCTGTAGACACAGGACTGAGGCTGTAGACCCAGGACTGAGGCTGTAGACCCAGGACTGAGGCTGTAGACCCAGGACTGAGGCTGTAGACCCAGGACTGAGGCTGTAGACCCAGGACTGAGGCTGTAGACCCAGGACTGAGGCTGTAGACCCAGGACTGAGGCTGTAGACCCAGGACTGAGGCTGTAGACCCAGGACTGAGGCTGTAGACACAGGACTGAGGCTGTAGACCCAGGACTGAGGCTGTAGACCCAGGACTGAGGCTGTAGACCCAGGACTGAGGCTGTAGACCCAGGACTGAGGCTGTAGACCCAGGACATTGTCTCTGCCTCAAACCCAAATGACAGAGACTGTTGTGGATGTTTTGCCGCCGTTTCCACACTGAGCCTCGGGCGCAGACGGCCGTGACCTTTGCGGGTCTTGGATGAGACTTGGAGACGACGTTAGCGCGACTAAAACCGAGGTGACACATGTTGAAGAGGCCAAAACACAAACTGCACAACAGCAACACAACAACACAGCTCCAGGCAAAAGAAGAAGAACCAGAGGAGATCCTACTGAACCTGGAGGAACTCTGGGTCTCGTTTGATTCTTGGGTTTGGGGAAAAAGATTTGTGGCTAATTGTAAATGTTGACATAAAAAGGTAAAGAAACGCAATGAATAAATGGATCTGCCTCAGTCCTGGGTCTACAGCCTCAGTCCTGGGTCTACAGCCTCAGTCCTGGGTCTACAACCTCAGTCCTGGGTCTACAGCCTCAGTCCTGGGTCTACAGCCTCAGTCCTGGGTCTACAGCCTCAGTCCTGGGTCTACAGCCTCAGTCCTGGGTCTACAGCCTCAGTCCTGGGTCTACAGCCTCAGTCCAGGGTCTACAGCCTCAGTCCTGGGTCTACAGCCTCAGTCCAGGGTCTACAGCCTCAGTCCTGGGTCTACAGCCTCAGTCCTGGGTCTACAGCCTCAGTTCAGGGTCTACAGCCTCAGTCCTGGGTCTACAGCCTCAGTCCAGGGTCTACAGCCTCAGTCCTGGGTCTACAGCCTCAGTCCAGGGTCTACAGCCTCAGTCCTGGGTCTACAGCCTCAGTCCAGGGTCTACAGCCTCAGTCCAGGGTCTACAGCCTCAGTCCTGGGTCTACAGCCTCAGTCCAGGGTCTACAGCCTCAGTCCTTCAAAGATGACTGCCATGAAATTAATTGAATTAAAATTGCAGTAAAAGTAAGAATACCCAGGTACTCCGCAGGTTCACGGGGGGAGGGCGGAGCGTAAATGTCATCGGTAACAAGGCGGGGTCAGGGCAGCTGTGGCAGGGTGGCTGTGGGAGGGCGGCTGTGGCAGGGCGGCTGTGGCAGGGTGGCTGTGGCAGGGCGGCTGTGGCAGGGCGGCTGTGGCAGGGCGGCTGTGGCAGGGCGGCTGTGGCAGGGCGGCTGTGGGAGGGCGGCTGTGGCAGGGCGGCTGTGGCAGGGCGGCTGTGGGAGGGCGGCTGTGGGAGGGCGGCTGTGGCAGGGCGGCTGTGGCAGGGCGGCTGTGGCAGGGCGGCTGTGGCAGGGCGGCTGTGGCAGGGCGGCTGTGGCAGGGTGGCTGTGGCAGGGCGGCTGTGGCAGGGCGGCTGTGGCAGGGCGTCTGTGGCTTCATCTTTCCCAGTTTAAAGACGACAGCCTTTGTTAGAGGTGACACATAATGAGATGCTCCGTCCAATTAACACCAGCGAGCGAGGTGTGGGCGCCGCCTCCGCCGCCGCAAACACAAGCACACGGACAAACGCGCAGCGCACACACGCATATCATTGACATGCTCCGTATCCATGGTAACGACACTAAGTATCTATCTATCTGTCTATCTATGGGAGGCAAACTAAGGCCCGCGAGCCAGATGCGGTCCACTGTGTCATTGTATGTGGTCCTGTGTCTTGCTAACACGAAGTAGCCAGTGAGGTACTTTCGCAGTATCATCCAGCCAACTTCAGCTCCACCCATGTAGTCATACTGTACCCATGTGTGTATGTAAAGCTTAGAATCTTTGGAATCCAGTCGTCAACTTTATTTGTATAAAACTGACATTTGCTTTTGATTGTTTAAGGTTTAAAGATGAATTTATTAAGAACAATCTGCAGTTACATTAAAAATGGCTGCACCAGATTCAGCACCAGCTCCTCTCCATCTGTCGTCCTCACAACACCATCACCAAACTTACTTTATTCAAATACAGTTCAAATAAATGTGTGAATCAAGTCCAGACACGTCCATAACCGTCCAGAGCGGTCCAGAATGGTCCAGAATGGTCCAGAATGGTCCAGAACTCAGTCAAAGTCCCTGGATAAGTCCAGTGAACTAAAGCGTGTCCACCCCTGATCTATGGCATGGGAGTCAAAGTCAAGGCCCGGGGGCTAGATCCGGCCCAAGAATGAACTTTCTTGGCCCGGGGATGATATTTGATTAGTATCAGAACCAGCAGCATAGAATCATAAAGACATATGGGATTATTCATAGGGGAAGACTAGACTAGACTAGAGTAGGGTAGGGTAGAGTAAGAATGATAAAGGAGGTTAAAGCCCCAAAGTATCAAAAGTTGCCATTCAAAAAGACATAATACAATTGGTGTTGATGTTACGACTTCCTCCTCAAAATTTTTTTAGCACCTTCCTGACTCTGTGGTCCGTGTGATGTCACATGGAGCAGGCCTCTCTCTGATGTCACATGGAGGAGGCCTCTGATGTCACATGAGGCCTTGTGATGTCGCATGAGGCCCGCCCTGGCTTTAATGGGGCCTCTCTGTGATGTCGCATGAGGCCTGCCCTGGCTTTAATGGGGCCTCTCTGTGATGTCGCATGAGGCCTTGTGATGTCGCATGAGGCCTGCCCTGGCTTTAATGGGGCCTCTCTGTGATGTCGCATGAGGCCTGCCCTGGCTTTAATGGGGCCTCTCTGATGTCACATGAGGCCTGCCCGGGCTTTAATGGGGCCTCTCTGTGATGTCGCATGAGGCCTGCCCGGGCTTTAATGGGGCCTCTCTGATGTCACATGAGGCCTGCCCTGGCTTTAATGGGGCCTCTCTGATGTCACATGAGGCCTGCCCGGGCTTTAATGGGGCCTCTCTGTGATGTCGCATGAGGCCTGCCCGGGCTTTAATGGGGCCTCTCTGATGTCACATGAGGCCTGCCCGGGCTTTAATGGGGCCTCTCTGATGTCACATGAGGCCTGCCCGGGCTTTAATGGGGCCTCTCTGTGATGTCACATGAGGCCTGCCCGGGCTTTAATGGGGCCTCTCTGTGATGTCGCATGAGGCCTGCCCGGGCTTTAATGGGGCCTCTCTGATGTCACATGAGGCCTGCCCGGGCTTTAATGGGGCCTCTCTGATGTCACATGAGGCCTGCCCGGGCTTTAATGGGGCCTCTCTGATGTCACATGAGGCCTGCCCGGGCTTTAATGGGGCCTCTCTGTGATGTCACATGAGGCCTGCCCTGGCTTTAATGGGGCCTCTCTGTGATGTCGCATGAGGCCTGCCCTGGCTTTAATGGGGCCTCTCTGTGATGTCGCATGAGGCCTGCCCTGGCTTTAATGGGGCCTCTCTGTGATGTCGCATGAGGCCTGCCCTGGCTTTAATGGGGCCTCAGTGACAGCAGTGACGGAGCATCAGGAGCATCAGGCGCTGACGCAGAACACTGACCTCTAAATTAGGGATAATTGAACGTCCTCAAAAACAATTCATGGTTTAATTAATCAAAGTGCTGTGAGCTTCAGACTCAGGAGCCGAGACAGGACCAGGACCTGACCAGGACCCGAGACAGAACCAGGACCAGGACCAGGACCAGGACCCGAGACAGAACCAGGATCAGGACCAGGACCAGGACCCGAGACAGAACCAGGACCAGAACCAGGACCAGGACCAGGACCAGGACCCGAGACAGAACCAGGACCAGGACCAGGACCCGAGACAGGACCAGGACCAGGACAAGGACCCGAGACAGGATCAGGACCTGACCAGGACCCGAGACAGAACCAGGACAAGGACAAGGACCCGAGACAGGACCAGGACCAGGACAAGGACCCGAGACAGGACCAGGACCAGGACCCGAGACAGGACCAGGACCAGGACAAGGACCCGAGACAGGACCAGGACCAGGACAAGGACCCGAGACAGGACCAGGACCAGGACAAGGACCCGAGACAGGACCAGGACCAGGACCAGGACAAGGACCCGAGACAGGACCAGGACCAGGACAAGG